AAGCTCTGACAGCGGGGACTTGCTTTGTTGAGCTCAGTTCTGTTTGCAACCCGAAGCCATCCTTTTCATCCCCAATAGTAATTTTGGATGCACTGTTGGTAGAATAAAGAAATCACAGCCGGGCGGTGGTGGCGGTGCACGCCTTTAATCCCAGCACTCGGGAGGCAGAGGCAGGCGGATCTCTGTGAGTTCGAGGCCAGCCTGGTCTATAAAACGAGTTCCAGGAAAGGCACAAAGCTACACAGAGAAACCCTGTCTTGAAAAACCAAAAATAAATAAATAAATAAATAAATAAATAAATAAATAAATAAATATAAAAAAATTAAAAAAAGAAATCACGTGTTATCAATGTAGCAGGTGACAGTCAACATGGCCGAAGTAGGGTGAAGGGAAAGGTCATAAAGCATCGGATAGGTTCAGTGGCTCCATGGTGATGGACTTTAACTCTGGGTAAAAGACCTGAGTTTCAGTTTCTCTAAATCAGGCTGGTTATTGTCTGAAGCTTTTATTGGACACCGTAGGAAACCCAGGCCCAATGCTTAGCTTTTCCTCCTACCTTCTGCTTAGCTTCTTTTCCCAACTTAACTGCTCATTAATGTGTCTACCAAAGATAAACTCGGGATGACGGGAGACAAAACCCCGACTAAGAAAGACCTTCAGGTACTGTTTGGAGACAGTGTCAACCCCTCCGCCCCCAACCTGTTTGAATGTCTTCTGCATTCCTCAAGAAACCAAGCGTGCCTTTACCGACAACAGTAAAGCTTTATTCCAGCCAAGGTTGGACTTTGAAATTTTAATTTCTTAGCATTTGCTGAATAACTCGAAAGTTCTCTTTATTTCTGCTTAAAAGTTTTTCCATCCTACACCTCATCATTTCTCCCTCTAGTTGAAGAAAGTATTTGAGGTTTAGAGATTTGGAATTTGCCCACTTGGAGGAGGGCAGCTGACACATTTCTTGCTCTGTAGTCACTTTATCCAAGCCCCTCCAGCCAGGAGCTGGCTCCTCTCCCTACTCTACTAGCTTTGTAGCGTCCCCAAATGCCATTGGTGAAACAGAGACTACTTCTGTGCTCTGAAGAGGAGCCTCACCATTTCCTGAGAGCTCTGCACTGAAAATCGCTCCCCATTTCCAATCTTTTGTGAACGTGGGTGAATGTAGTTCTCCTTTCTTCAGAGACGACCATTTTCTCATCTCCTGTATAAATCCAACAAGGTGCCAAACACAAGCAAAGGATTTCTAGAGACTCTTGAGGGCAGCATGCTTAATTCACATGAATGAAATAAATTTTAAATGTTTTCATGAGCAGTGCAGTTATAATTGCTGGTTAGTTTGTAACAAGTGGTCAACATCTGAAAGTTTATAGCTATTAGATGAACAAATAAAGAGCCCATATCTGTCGTCAGCGAGACTCACAGTCAGGTCTAATAGATGAAAGAAACTGTTCTAGCCCTGGTCTGTTTTCTCTGGGATCCCTGCTACAGGTCCATGAACAGTGATTAATTACCCCAAAAGTTACTCTTGAGGCCACAGAATCCTTGGTTGGCTCATGCCTATCCCAGGAGAAACTGAATTGCCTGGCTTTTATGATCTGATTAATTAATGTTTAGTAAATTTTATAAGTGTGTAATTTTTGTTTTATTGGATGGAAATATCTTTCAAGTGTTTCTTTTACCCCCAGAGAAAAATGTGGTTCATACTAAAATTTTTGTATCAAGGTTCCCCAAAATAGGTATACACAACCCCAAATAACACTTAAACTATTGGACATAATTAAGATGTAGCTTTGTATCTTTTTATTACAGTGCAAATTTCTCTCAGAATGTGTATCATTAAAATTTTCTCAGAATCAAACATTCAAGGATTGGATTCTGAAAAAAAAAGTTGTATTATTTCTTCATTGAAGCTTCATTATTTAAGAATAGTCAAGTGATTTAAACAAGAAGGTATTTGGCAGTAATTTGCCATTTAATCAATGTAGAGTGTGACTGAAAGTTTCAGTCTCATTGCAAGGGCATTCAGTCCCAAGAGGCATTCTTACAGTAGGTTTAACTATTGATTTCTCCATGCTTTCTCTCTCTTGCTTTTTGAGAACATTCTTCTTGTGTGACTGCATATTTACATAATTAACCAGCCTTCCACACTGTAAGATTCAACGTCAGGTGCTCTGATAGCAGCCAGTGGATGGAAATTGCCTAGCAAGTGATGTGATAGAAATCAAGGGATATAAAGTGTCTATCACTGGTAGCAAAGCCTTCCTTCACTGATCCCTTATGAATAATTTACAGAATATGAGTAATTAATGGGGAATTAAAGTCTAAATGTGGTGCTTTTTAGATCAGCATTATTTAGGCAGACACGATTAGAGTTCTTTGCAATGTAGGCTTTTAATTGAATGCCAGAGCAAAAGCCCTTGAGAGTTATAATGACGTAAATGATTGTGGAAATTGTAATTGCACCTTAAGAGATATGGAAGTGAGGCGGACACAGAGCTGGCAATCAGGACAGAGTGTGTTTGAGAGCAGAAAGGAGGACTGCATGAACACCCAGCGATTCCTACTAAATGAGCTGACGAGGTGGAGGGTACAGAGCCTCATCAGAATTCATTTTGAATGTCAGAAGAACTTTGATGCCCCCTTTCCTGTGTTCATTATAAGAATTAAGCACCACGTGTGTAAACTCACAATGAAAACCAACATTTTTTAATTTTATGCCCCTGGAACCCTTTGCAGATCGGGCACATAGCCAATATATGCATTTCACTGATGACTTTTAAAGATGCTTATGGCTTACACTGCCTGGTGTTGTCTCTAATTCATGCCCCCAACACACTCATGTGAGGTCAGGGATTTTGTTGTTTTTCGTTTCCCTTAGAATTTAGTCTGTTTACTTTTGTTTCAGCTGTTGGTATAAAACTACAGGCTGCTTTCATGGTAAAATTGAGCTCAGGGGGTAAAACAAGCCCAGAAAGACGTGTGTGTTTGTGTGTGTGTGTGTGTGTGTGTGTGTGTGTGTGTTCATGTATATATGGTATACATGAATGTAGAGGCCACATGACAACCTCAGGTACTGCCCACCTTGCTTTTTGAGACCGGATCTCTTATTGGCCCGGGACTTGTCATGCAGGCTGGCCTTGCTGGCCAGGGAGCCTCAGGGACCCTCCTTTCCCAATCTTCCCAGGAATGGGATTACAGACATTTGCTGCCATCCCTGGATTTCTTTTCTTAAACATGGTTCTGGAAGGTTAACTTGGGTCTTCATGCATATACAGCAAGTGCTTATGAGTTATGAAAGCAGTTTTCTCTGTTTTTTGATAGTGGTATAAAATACTCCACTATAGAAACCTCTTCAGAGGAATAAACTTACGCATAGTTGAAAGAGTTAGTACTATTCATACTGTACTGTGTGTGTTCAGCTTTCTCTTTTCACAGATAGTAGACTTGTACCATTAAGAGATTGGGTGATTTTGTTCTTGAGTTGGCTCCATGAAAGGCTGGGGCTTTTATCTTTCTGGGAAACAAATATGCAATATGCAAACTGTCAGTGTGCATAATGACCCCAGGTGACTTCAAGCAGCATCTCTCAGGGAGGCCTTTTCCTAACTTCTTTCAAGCTTGAGGAAATGTTATTCAAGAGCCTATAAATTTGTAAGGTTCTTGGGGTGGTTTATCTGAGAATTCAGGGTGGTGTTTTGGTATCAGAATATTATCTATGTAGTTGCTCAGTTTCCTTCCCTTATATCACATTGTGAAATCATGTCATTAAACATTATGAGAATGTGATTTGAGGGATTAGAGAAATGGATCAGCAGTTAAGAATTTTTGCTATACAATCAGGAGGACTGCAAATTGGATCCCGATACCTAGGTGACAAGCTGGGTATCTCTGCAAATGTTTGAAACCCCAGCTCTGAGGGCTGGAGTTTGCAGGCTTCCAGCCTAGCCAAGAGTAAGCCTCAGCTTCAGGGAGAGAACCTGCTTCAGAGAAATAGGCAGAGAGTGATAGAGAAAGACTCCAGCACCCTCTTCTAGCCTGTACATGTACACACACATGTACAGCTGTGACATACCCTTCCATGCATAAGCACATATAGTCACATAGGCATCCGTATATACATATAAACTTACATAAATATATTAATTAAAAACATTTTGTAACGGCCACTGTTTGCTGTTTATATAATGCTATTTTGTTTGTCAATGTGTGTTTTCTTACCATTGGAATTAGTCATTTACTTGGAATTAGCCAGGGGTGTGCCCATTCTTTTCTATTTCCACTGTTGCCATTTCTGTCAAAGCTACTATTATTTCCTCTCTGAGTTTTTCAATAGCCAGAAAGTCCTGACAAGCCTCAACGATGATGCATCTGCCTGGTGTCTTAGTTAGGGTTTCTATGGCTGCGATAAAACACCATGACCAAAAGCAGCTTGGGGGGGAAGGGTCTGTTTCAACTTACACTTCTACATCACAGCCCATCATCAAAGGAAGTCAGGCAGGAACTTAAGGCAGGAACCTAAAGGCAGGAATTAAAACATACGCCATGAAGAGTGCTGCTTGTTGGCTTGCTCTCCGTGGCTTGTTCAGCCTGCTTTCTTATACAGCTCAGGAGTACCTACCCAGGGGCAGCACTGTCAACAATGGGCAGGGCCCTCTCCCATCAATCACTAATTAAGAACAGGCACTCCTGACTTGTCCACCGGCAACTGTTATGGAGGCATTTTCTTAATTGAGAGTCCCTCTTCCCAAATAATTCCAACTTCTGTCAAGTTGACAATAAACTAGCCAGGACACTGGGTTTCTGCTTTATTTCCAGAGAACCACTGTCCTGGGTTTGAGGCATCTCCCCCTAGTTGACAGGGCTGCTGGGGTTAATCTCCTGTAAAAACTCAAGTTTCTCTTTTGCTCTCAGAAGGAACAGCCTCTGTAATAGCATCACGCACCTCTGCTCTGTTTCTGTGGTACAACTTTGTGTAACATTAATGCCCGGACATGTTTTCTTGACAGCTGGCTAACTTCCCCAGACTTTGTGAGGAAACAGAAAGGATTGTTGCTAACCACATCCGTGAGCGAGAAGGGAAGACCAAGGACCAGGTGAGTGAAGGTTTTCCTGGTGGCAGTGCCTTTGTGGAAGGATTTTACCAAGGTGTGTGGCATGAATCCTAAGTGGTCTTCTAATAAAAACCCAGAGACAGATATTGGGGTAAATGCTGAAAGATCAGAAAGACAAAGGAACAAGTCACTAGAGAAATTTCTCACCACTACCGGATCCTCAGGCAGAATAGAAGGCAAGATCCTATCTCCACAAATCCTCTGACTGAAAGCCTGTGAGTCCTCAGCTGAAAAGGCTTCTAGTTCCTGTTTCCTCACACCTTCTATGCCTTTCTCTGCCCAGCCCATTTCACTTCCTTCCTAGTGCTGGGATTAATGGCGAGTGTGCTTCCCAAATACTGGTAGCAAAGGCGTGAGATCTCAAGTGCTGGGATTAAAGGTGTGTGCCACCACTGCCTGGCTCTGTTTCTCTCCTAGACTGAATCAATCTCACATAGTCCAGGGTGGCTTTGAACTCACAGAGATGCTAGGATTAAAGGTGGGTGCCACCACTGCCTGGCCTCTATGTTTAATCTAGTGGCTGGCTCTGTCCTCTGATTCTCAGGCAAGCTTTATGTGATACACAATATATCACCACAAAGGTATCTGGTTGTTGTCTAGTCCTCAATCACAAAACAGTAAAGGACATAACAACATCATGCTTGCTTTTACTTTTTATGAATTATATATATGTATATATGTTACTACTATACCAAAGTCTTATGCAAGGATCCAGAATTCTAAAATTTAAAATCAACAGTACAAATCCAGAGCCAAGTATGGGGGCTCACATCTGCAATATCTGCACTTGAGAAGCAGAGGCAGGAGGATTGCCACAAGTCCACGGAGGCCAGCCTGAGCTACAGTGTAAGATCCTGTCTCAGTGAACAGATCAACAACCAGGAACAACCTACCTTCCACATAGGAAGTGCTGTCATTTTCCCCTCAATCTTCTATGACTATCATGTTACTGTTCCAGCATATACACACTGCTCACGTTGATAACCATTGAACCAGAAACACACTACATTTTTTCCTTTTAGATGGATTTCTCATGTATTAATGGATTTGTACATAAACTCCAGGATATTAAAAAAATTCTAAACATTTTTCTTACAGATTTCTATGAACTTGCCTGTGAAATCTACCATTGGAGAAAGATGTTTAGGAACTAATATTTTAAACATTCAGAACTACTTTGCAAATTCACTTGGCTTGTAAGGAATGACCTTGAAACCATTTTCAAACCCTAGCACTCTGACTTGGAAAGATAATTTTTAAGGGAGGATACTTTATTTGAGGAAAGGATAGCAAATTCTCATGTCAAAATGGCTATTTCTTAGTTACTTATCAACACGATAATGGAAAATACTAAGGCTTTCAAATGCTCTTCCACACCACAGCTGCAAGCTTCGTGCAGAGAGAATACTGGACTTGGGCCATGCGTTCTCTCCCAAGTAACAGTGTGTTCTTGTGAAAATCACTTCTTAGGACTGCTGGTGTTTTTACATGGGCAGGATTGGGCTGTTGTTCTATATGGTCTCTGAGTGCGTCCATAAGTTAGTACTCCAAGATTTTATGATTGTCAGATGGGTTGGAATGGGAAGGAGAAAAAAAAATGAAGAAGAAGAAGAAGAGAAGAGAAAAAAATAGAGAGTGGAAACCACAATAAGAGAGACACACAGCTTGCATAATGGGAGAGTGGAAGCAGGAAGTGAAGAGAGTCCCAGAGGCTTGGCAGGCTGGGGCATTTGTGAGGGACCCCAGTGGAAACCGTTTTCTCTGCTTGAGCTCGGAACTGATTGTTACTACTTTTTTATCAGTGTGCTTTGAAAATTAATTGCCCACCATTTATAATTTCCACTTATTTTCCAGCTTTTACAATCTTGGATAGCAGCCCAAAGTAGAGAAAAGAGGTATTGTAACCTAGCCAGCATTAACTCACGAGCCAGTGAAACGAAGCCAGGAATCTCAGACATATAGTCCCGAGCTAGAGGTTCCCTTTCCCCATCTAATGTCTTGGCTGCTGCTGGACCAGTACAAGCCAGTTCTATCAAATTCTGTAATTGCAGCACTTAGGAAGTAGAGGCAGGAGGATTAGGAATTCAGGTTCATTCTCTGTTACGTAGCCATTTCAAGGCTAGGCCGGGCTCCATGAGACCTTGTCCAGTTTTATTTCCATTGCTGTGATAACATCTCCCTGACAAAAGACAGCTTAGGAGAGAAAGGATTTCTTTTGGCCTACCGTTCCATCACCGCACAACACTCAAGGTAGCAGGGACTCCAAGCAGCTTCTTACATCATACCCACAGTCAAGAACAGAGAGGAAGGAATGTGTGGCTCTTCCTTGCTCACTTTCACTAAACTGATCAGGGCCCTGACTATGAAATGGCCACACTCAGGGTAGGTTTTTCCACCTCAAATAACCAAGAAAAAAAAATCCCTTATAGATATGGCCACAGGCCAACCGGCTATATGCATTCCCTCATTGAGACTCTCTCTGGGTGGCTCTCTCTAGGTTATATCAAGTTGACAGTGAAAACTGCCTATCACAGTCCTGGTCTAAAAAAAATCAACTACATTTGATTTTAAATGAACAGGATGCTTTGACTTGTGTTTTTATCCTGTAACGCTCGAATGATGGCATATAAGATTAACTCATAGGGATCCCGAGTAAAACTAATATTGGGGGAAAAGTAGTATGTTGTTTTACCATCACTGTGACCCTATATAGGTCAGGTGCTGACATTTTCATGTTGACATTTTCATTTTTTTCTTGTTTCGGTAAAATGACATATTCAATTTAGCATTAGATCTGGAACATCTAGGCCACAGTGTCCAAGAACCCAGGGTCATGGACCTGGAGAGTAAGCAGACAGATTGGTGGCTCCACAGACTTAAGTTCATAATACACTTCTGATTGAAGCAGAGTCCTGGCTTGCAGTAGCTTAAGGTGGACCCCAGGATTTGCATCAGTAGACATACGCCTCTAAAGTCACCAGGACAGAAGACATCACTTCTGGCTGGGATATGCCTATTTTATGTCATGCTAATATCAAAGAGTCAGGCACAGTCCTGGCATCAGGGTCAGGTCCTAACACTCGTAGAAGCCCAAAGTGTTGTATATTTATAGCATGCTGAGAGGCCGTGTGAAGGGGGATGGGTGTGGTCTAGGGCTACTCGGAGGCAATCATAGTGACTACAGTCCAAAAAGGCTATCTATGGTTGAGTCAGGGTGGAACCCTACATAATTGTGAAGTATGCCAGGCTAGCTCACTGTACCACTAGAACTCTAATTGTTATTAAGATAGTGCACTCTTAGCTTAGACTGCCTGAGCTTCAAATCCAAGCTCTAACTCTTACATTCTAGGTAACATTTTGTAAGTTATTTTCATTCTTTAAAAATATTTATCGTGTGTATGTGTGTGTGTGTGTGTGTGTGTGTGTGTGTGTGTGTGTGTGTAGGTACATGTTTGTCATGACATATGTTTGGAGGTCAGTTCTCTCCATCATGCGTGTTATAAAGGTCAAACTCAGGTCATCAGGCTTGATGCAAGTGTCCTTACCTGCTGAATTATTTTAGTGTTCCAACTTGCATGTGTGTGTGTGTGTGTGTGTGTGTGTGTGTGTGTGTGTGTGTGTACGTGTGTACACCTTTAGGATAAGCAGTGGTAGTTAACTCATGGACATTTTATAAGGGTGAAATCCATGCACAGCTCTTTGTTCCAATTAGTTACTTACCTTTGCATCACTGTGAACACAATACCCGACAGAAACAACTCAAGGGAGGGAAGTGTTATTTTGTATTCCTTCCTCCTACAGTCTCAATGACAAACTAAGTTGCAGTTCCACTAAAGTTCACTCTGCAGAGAGAGTGGGTTTGTTAGGCTTACTTACAGAGGAAGAGGCGAGCAGCTTTAGGCAGGAGAATGGCTGACCTTAAAGCAGCCACTATAGAAGGTCTGTACCTAGCATGGATGGTGACTCCTCCACGGTTGTATGATGGAGTCCCTTCCCTTAACCTGTCCCTAAATATATCCTCTGGCCCTTCTCAGAGACTGCAAGGTCATGTGGAGTTAGGGCAGAACTCCCCATACCTGGTAGGAAAGGTTGGGAGGATATTCAGGTAGGGGTGCCATGAACCTCCCCATCCCCTTCTAAGAAGGAGTGCCAATAGTCAACAAGGCCAGCTGTGATGATCTTCGGTGAGCAGGCACAACCCAAATCCTGACAATGCAGTCGTTCAGCTCAGAGGATAGTCCCGTACAACAGGTGGTTATAATCTTCAAAGACTGTCCCCTAGTGACATACTTCCTCCAGCTCGGATCCACCTCACAAAGTCCAGTCTTCCACAATGCCACCATCATGTGGGGAACAAGCCTTCAAAACATAAGCCAGGGAGACATTTCAAATTCAAACTACAACACCATACCTATACCACCAAAGAAAGGCTCGTGGCTTGTCATAAAGAAAAGTACACTTGATCAAACCATAAGCTTTCTGAAGTCTTCACATTCTAACATTGCTTGAAAGTCTGTCAGAGTCTCTACTCAGACTCAAGGCAGTCTCTTAGCTGTTAACTTCTGTAAAATAAAAAAAAAAGAAAGTTACATACTTCTATTTCGTAATGGTACAGAGTTAAGTAGCAGGAGGAGAGAGGCCAGTAAGGAAAAATCGGACGAAACCGAGACTAAAACCCAGAAGAGGAAATTTCCAGCATCTAGGGAATATAATGGCATCATCTGAGCTCCAACGTGCTCAGCAGCCCTGTCCTCACGGTCTTACCACTTTCGGTACACATTAGCTCTTCTCCTGGGCTGGCTCCTCTCCTCTCTCTGCAGGATCCAGAGTTAAACAACTGACCCACATTCCTGGTATCTCCAACATCCTGCAGTTCCCACTGTAACTTAGCCATCATGCTCATGTCTTTGTGTTATGTTAGGGTATTCCTGCAAGGAATTGGACCCTGGTACGTGATGCCTAGTCTCGTGGGCTTTTCCTTGGAGTATTAGTGGAAGCCTCTGTGACCCCATAAATCTTGGGTTCTGCATGCTTGCAAATCATGCACTTCATGGGCAATGCCAAGTTGTACTCTGTGTCTGAACAGTGTCAGGCCTCTTGGCTGTGGCTGTAGTGACCTTTGATTGCCTAGGCGCTGAACCTGGGAAGCACTTTCATATGTGAGCAGGGTGCTCTAGAGGTACTTGCTTATCAAGGGGAAGTCTCTGAAGTGGGTTTGAAGTTTTGTATTTAGGGTCTATAATGGGTAGGATCTGACCAATATCTGAAATATTCTTGGGGAACTCCTGTTATCTTGTGCAGAGTGCTTAGGTTTTCTTTAATTGCTCTAAATTCTTTAAAAGCTACAGCTCTTTGTCTGACAAAGCAAATGAGCTCACTTTCCTTCCCAAACAGCGTTTTCCCACAGTTTTCTCCTGATGCTTACTGCGAATCTTACTAAAAGCAGCCAGCAATAAACCATACCACCTGCCTGATTTCAATGCTGTCTTGAAGTTCCCTCACCAAATAACCAGTTCTTTACTTTTGAATTCACCCTTAAAAATTTCAAGACATAGGCCAAACATAGACAAATCCTTTGCCAGAGTATAATAATTGTGCAATGTGAAAAACTCTAGGGTTTCTCTAACCCATGTCTCCAAATTGTCAAATTCCTCCTGTAAACCATTTCCAAAGGCCCAGGAGCTACATGGTCAGTTGAATCATAACAACCCTACTTCTCTAGTACAGCCTTCTGGTATTAGTTTCTTTGGCATTACTGTGACCACAGTAGCCAACATAGACAACCTAAGGAGAAAATGCTTGCATCTATTCACAGCTTCAGAGGATTTCAGTCCATCATGGTGGGAGGATATGGGGAAACATCACAGATCATTGTGGCAGGAGCATGTGACGGGATCTGGTCACGTGCTGACAAACCAGGAACCAAGGAATGAACCTGGAACCAGGGCTGGTCGTAACTTTCCAGGGTCCACCCTACTGACTTCTGCCAGCTAGGCTCTATCGGAAGGTTCCAGAACTTCCCCAATAGCACCATGAGATGGGGAACATTAAAACCACAGCATTAACTTGAGCTGCTATTCATTCGTTGGGTCACAGCAGATATGGGAAATGATGGCCTTTTCTAACTTCAGAGGAGTCTTCCAGCTGTGTCTTTGATGTACGGATTAATCCATTCTCCAAGTGGGGGATTAGTGATGGGATAGGTGTCTCCCTCTTTTCTTTAAAGTATTTATTTACATGTGTGTGTGAGTGTATATGCACATATGTGAGTATATATGTGTGTATACATACATACATGCATACACACAGACACAGACATAGACACACACACACACACACACACACACACACACACACACACACACTAACTTCTGCATGTGCTCAGAGATCAGAGGAGAGCATTGGGTTTTCTAATGTATCACTTTTTTTTTCCAGTTGTTATTTTGAGGCAGAGTCTCTCTCTGAATATGAGGCTAATGCAGTGGTTCTCAACCTGTAGGTCTCAATGCCTTTGGCAAACCTCTGACTCCAAAAATATTTACATTATGATTCATAACAGTAGCAAAATTACAGTTATGAAATAGCAACAAAAATAATTTTATGATTGTGGGTCACCATACATAAGGAATTGTATTAAAGAGTCTCAGCATTAAGAAGGTTGAGAACCACTAGGCTAGTGCTTTCTTGGCTAGGCTAGAAGCCAACAAGCTCCAGTGATGCCCCTGTCTATGTCTCTCTTGAAGCTGGGGTTACAGGCATATGATAAATGCCTCATCTTATTCTGGGTACTGGGATCCAAACACCAGTCTTCATGATTATGCAGCAAGTATTCTTAACCACTGAGCCATCTGTCTAGTTTTAGGTCTTCCTTTCAAAGTAATGATCCCAGTGCCTGACAGCTATTCACCACCTCCGAGAAGCTTGTGGTCACTCCTGGTTTGGACCTGTGTAGCACAGGAGGAAAAACATGTTTTAGAAATGTAATCATGCCATTTTGGATAGATGTCTCATTTGAATTCTGAACTACATGCTGTCTTGAGCCTTGTGCTTTTGATATAGCTCATCAGACACTGGCCTATTTTCTCAATTCTCCATGCCTCTAAAATACTTTGAGACATTCCTACCATTTGCTTTCTTTAATTTTTTTTAAAAAAATTATTAACCACCCCTGCTCATGAAATATTGAGGGTAAAAAAATGAATCCTCAAAATTAAACATGAAAACTCGTAAACTCATAAATCTGTAAGTTTTGTTCTTAAATGTTTTTAGAACGTCATATGTACCAGCTATTCTTCTAGATGTTTCTATATGCCTAATTACATGTTAAAAAAAAAGTTTTGTGAGTTTGTGAGTTGCTGCTGCTATAAGTGGTAAATTTATTTTTCTTCAACTAAATATTCAGTGACTGGGTAAGACCACAGGGAGGAACTCTGAGAAAGTGAAAAGATGCGAAAAAAATGTACTGTTTTCTTTTTCATCCCCCACATGGCAACCTGGCCGTTTTCCTAGGGTGAACACAGACTCCCAATTTCCAGGAATATGAATGAGAACAGCCATAGCTTTTATTTTTTCACTGTTTTCCTACACCACAGTCCAAGTTAATGAGTGTCTGTGTCCAGGGTGCTCATCATAGCTGTGGGTTACGCTGGCAATTCTGTGGATATTTTACTCTTTATGCCAGAACAATTTATTTGTACTTAAACATTATACTGCATAGATATGGAATGTTGGCAAATGAGTCTGGGAATATAATGTTTAAGAGAATCTGACTTGATTGGTGGGAGAATAGAGGTAACACTATAGCTAAATTAAAAATAATAATTCCTCAGTATTATTCAAGAGATAAAATTAAATTTTATCTAGGAAAACGGCCAGGTTGCATGTGGGGGATGAAAAAGAAAACAGTACATTTTTTCTCATCCTTTCACTTTCTCAGCACCAGATATGAGGGCTAGAGGCCGGGAGTTTAAGATCATCCTTATGTCCACAGTGAGTTTAAGGCTAGCCTGGGCTATGTGAGGCATTTCTCCCCTCGCCTCCCCATCTTTCTCTTCTTCTTCCTCTTTCTTTTCTAAATAAGGGGTCAAAAAATGAAAGTGTAGGAGTTTCTTAATTTTCTTTTTTCTTTCTTTCTTTCTTTTTTTTTTTAACTTGTCACCAAGTCTCAGTATCTGAAAAAGGACATTGTGCAGTTAAAGGAACAAAAAGAAACACAGTAAGAGAAGTTTCTATTTGAAAATCTCCAGAATAAAGCCTTTTTTTCTGGCAATTTCTGCTTGCTCCACCCCTTTCTTGCCTCACTCAGGTCCCTTGGTTCCCCACTGTAGCCTCGGACATGTGTTCAATCCATCCCTTCTTAGATCTCACCAACAACTATGTCGTTCAACACACTAGCCCAGGCCCTGGGCACCTGCAAGGCACCAAAGAGGGAGCTCTGTGCAGAATATGCCGAAGGTCCTCCATGTCAAGTACAAGAAACGAGGCAGTGTACAATGGTGGACTGTAATAACGAGCTATCCAGGCAGAAACGCCAGGGAAGCATCCTTTGTCAAGACAATATTTTAACTGAGCTTTGGCTGAAGCTTTAGTCAGGCAATGAACTTGACTCATCTGAAGCAGGTTCTGTATTTCTTTATGTATTCTCTTTCTGAGTTGATAGATGAAATATTTCTGTTACCTAGAGGGTGCTTAAAAAGAAAAGTATGGAAAGAGTGAAGAAAACTCAGGGGTAATATTGCCTATATATGATTGCCTTTCCTTAGAACATGGTCTCTGCTTTAGAGGAAGAGAATAATTCTAGGTTTTGTTCTATGACAGCAAGTAGTTCATATGTCTATGAATTACAATGCTATTCTCTTCATGTGATACTTGGACTTACCTACCATGGAGGATTTTAACTTATAAATTTGGAGTGTAAAGGACTCAAAAAGAGAAAAATTATTTGTTGTTTTAATAAAAAATCACTTTAAAAACCAAATACCAAGAAACAACCTGGGTGATCATTGAATTGAACATCTGAGAATTTTAAAGATGGGTTGTCATGACAGTGATTCCGTTTGTCTTCCAGGTCCTGCTGTTGATTGACATTCAAGTCTCATACATTAACACCAACCATGAAGACTTCATCGGCTTTGCAAAGTACGTGAGATAACTGATTGCCTATGCATTTCTACTGCTACTTCATAAAAACATACGTTATCAGTTTCTACTATAGCTCTACCACCTTTAAACAGAACCAGTCTGTGTCAGGCTAATTCTGAGTCCATCTACTTTAGAGCCCCATAGTCATGGAGCAGGGAAATTTACTATTCTCTTGATAAAGGATGGTAGTTGGGTTTCTTGTGCAGAGCATGAAGTCATTTGTCTTTAGTACTCATTACACACACACACACACACACACACACACACACACACACACACACATACACACACACACACACAGAGAGTTTTTCGAGACAGGGTTTCTCTGTATAGTTTTGGTGCCTGTCCTGGATCTTGCTCTGTAGACCAGGCTCACAGAGATCTGCCTGACTCTGCCTCCCGGGTGCTGGGATTAAAGGCATGCACCACCACCGCCCGGCCTTCATTATATTTTTGAAAGATGATCTTTAGTTTGTACTTGAACTCCAATAGAGGAGCAACAATAATTGCATGTTAAAGTTCAGGGTAATATTCTTTCTTCAATTAATTTGAAATACCAAATACAATTCCAGGTGGATGTGGTGGTTCATACTTGTAATCGATACTTTATACTTAGCATTTGGGAGGCTAAGTCAGGAGGGTTGTTGTGAATTGAATTCTAGCCAGCTTGAGCTACAGAGTGAGAGTCTGTCTCAAAAGGCAATAAATAAAGACATATAAAAAAATAAATAAAAAACACTTGTAAGATCCAAAATATTAAGCTGTTTGGACTTCTCTACACCAGAATGAGGAGGACTTAAAACAGCAACAGTAACATACTTTTAAAATTTAGATGTCGACTGTTGGGATACTCCTTTTTATAGAAGGAATATAATTTACATACACTTGTTTATATGTTACTATTCTTCACAGGTCATATATACAAATAGTTATTCATTATGCTACATTTTAAGATTCTGAATTCACTATTTTTTTCTTTCTTGTTAATGGTGCCAGTATTTAGTTTGAAGAATCATGATCCTAGTTCTAACATGGCAAGCAAGCTGTTATAATCTAAAGAGTACAAAACAGTGCCTATTTTATATTAAATATAAAATAGAAAGCTTATGTGCTTTTACTTGAACTGAATGTTCAAGAACAGGGACAACAAAAATAAGACACACCAAAAATCAACCCAATTTATTTTATTTTACTCAGACTTGGAAGAAATATATGCAGACCATGTGATCTAAACTAAATAGTGGCCCAAGAGATTTATAGGCATGTTTTAGGCAGGAGAATCTCAATTACCCAAAGAAAACCATCTCATCTGATTGAGGCTGTAGCTGTCATGGCTGAAGTAATGATATCAGTCTATTTTTCATCCAGTGGCTCTTACTGTTGAGAGGTGCATTAGTGTTTCCTGGCCATTCCCATCAATGTGCTATGGGTTAACTTCTCATTGCTCTGTGATAAACATGTTCCCTTGCCCAGTTGTCCTTCAGCTACACTGACCACTCTTACCTTCAGATAGGCATCTGCTATATGAGCCTTTCCTGTAGATCTGTCCTCTCCCTCTTGGTCCCATGGCCCTTCCCATTTTCTGCTCATTTCATTCTGCAACACAACTTGACCTCTAATGTATATCTCTTCCTCCTTGGCTTAGAAGGAGCTCTGAGAATTTCTTACACTTCTCCTTACAGTCAATGAACTTCAGGCAGTCATATTAGTTTCTGTAGAGGAGAAATAAAGACAAATAAATTATGATCTGCCTTTCAGAAGGCTGTCTAATAAGTGATAGGTATCTAATGGCAAGCTCTTTATTTGTCTCATTGGCTTCTCTGAGAAGTTTAAACGATGAACTTGTTTTTACATCATTAGAAACAACAGGAATGCTGCCTTCAAAGTTGATTTTTGTGATGGACAAATGCCAATTAGAATCTTATAAACACATTGCAGCTCTGTGTATAACCTAGATGCAGTGTGTCAAAAGTGAAAAGGAGGCTACTGTGCTACCTCAAGGCATACCCCAAGTCAAGGAGATGGAACAAAAGCCCAATGCCTTTTGAAAGGATTCAAGGCTTAAACTTATCACAAAATCATTGTTACAATTTCAATTTTACTGAACACTCTATTTTTTTCCTAAGACATGATTTCATGTATGACCATGCTAGCCTTTAACTCTTTATGTAGCCAAGGATGGCCTTGAACTCTTGAACTTCCTGCCTCTGCATCACCAGTGCTGAGTTTACAGGTGTGTGAAACCCTAGCCAGCTGTGTTCCTTTGTCTCAGATCAATACCTGTCTGTCTGTCTGTCTGTCTGTCTGACTGTTTGTCTATCTACCCCTCTCTGATCTTTTGTTTTTTGTCTTTTTATAGGCTAGAGTTTATTTCTTTTTCCAATAAATTTTGGTAATTTTTTTTTGTCTCAGAGGCTGTAGGGCTATATTATTGTATTAATTGCTAGATTTTCAAAGAAAATTTTCAAATGTAGAACTTCTAGACACAGCCTTTGACCCAGCAGACAGCTCCTGTTTTCCAGTGAGATGAACTTTATTGTGTTGGGGAGGAGACGTGCTGTTAAAACTTTCCTAGAAGAGTGGGAACTTCTCTTTCCCCAAACTTTCTTTTAAAGAACTAGTCTGGAAGCCAGCAGCTACTGGGTCATTTTTTTGTTTACTGGTTTAACAAACAGACTAAGGAATACTCCCTGTTTTATGTTCCTCTGAGAAGTGTCAGAAGATAAATCAATAAAATTGGAGACTAGTTGGAAATGTGTTAGAAAACTATGGGATAGTCTGTTAGGGTTAGTTCTCTGTCTCTGTCTATCTGTCTCTCTGTCCCCCCTCCCTCTACTTTTCTGTCTGTCTCATTCCCTTCTCCTTCCCTTCTTCATTCCCTTCCCATACATAAAAACAAAAGACCTTGATCACAAGACTCACAGTTCTTTGTTAGTGTGTGTGTATGGTATGTAGTACATGTGTGTATGTACATATGTGGTGCATAGTGTGTGTAGACATATGCATGCATATGTAAGGCCAGAGGAAGATGTTGGTTGTCTTCTATGATTCTGTGCCTCTTCTTTTAAGGCATAGTTTCTAAACTAGAAGTTCACCATTTCTGCTAGGCTGGTGACCACTGAGTTCCAGGGGCCCATCTGTTGTCAACTCCCAATGCGAGGGTTATCAGCACCTGTAGCCATGAGTGGTTTTTTTGAGTGGTGGCTGAGGATTTGACCTGAAGTCCCCTGCTTGCATAGCAAACCTTCATACCCACTGAACTGTCTCCCTCACCCCACTGTTTTACTTTGTACTAAAATTTATAATAACTTACGTATGATTGATTGCCTCTAGAATATTTTAGTTGCTAATTTCATTATCCCAAAGACAATACTTAATTTTTCATTAATATGTATTAGCTGTACATACTAATGGCTCTCAGCATGCTGCTTCAATGTATGCATACAGCACGCATTGATCAAATTTAGCCTCTATTTATTCTGTCGCTCATTTTCTAGTAACCCCATCAAAGATAATGTTTTGCACTAAGAATCAAAGGTAAATGTTCTTTCCATTTGTATGCTGAGTACATTTCAGTGTGACATGGGGTAATTATGAAGATGAAGAAATGTTCATTTCAAAATCACTTTGAAGGATTGTGGTATTTTCTGTGCTTTTAAAAATTAAAAAAACATGGTCGTAGCTATAAATTTTAAAGTTGGCAGGAATGCTGTTTCCATCAAGGAAGAAAAGTCAAGCCATATTTGAAGACAATTATGTAAGTATTTCTTGTGCCAAAGATAGAAAATGAAGGTCTAGCATTGAAGAAAATAGGCTCTTGGTTCATAAGAGTTTTAGTGAGTTGTCACAAGAGTGTATGAGCTCTCGGGTTTGTGGGATGGTGATGTGTGCAGATACATGAAGTGTTTGCAATGCGCTGACTTTTTGCCCTAAGAGTTTGGTTTTTTGTTTGTTTGTTTGTTTGTTTTTAAGGAAAAACACATGTTAGAATTAGATGAACAGAATCATTATTTTTAGAGTAGCGTTCAGGATATCTCATGGTTCTTTCAGCTACAGAACCTATTCTCTCCTCTGAGTCCAAGGGGCTTCCTTTTCAACTTCACAGCTCTCTGTTAAATGTCGACCATAAAATATGTGCCATGTACAATAAGCCTCAGCATGTTCTGCTGAAGGCTGGCTTTGGTATTTCCTGGCTTCCAAATGCTTGGTATTTCAACTATAACAATATAATTTCTGAACTGAAAGTTCAGCATTTCAGATGAAAACATCAACTTTCCTTATGACTTAAGAGATTCAATTTGTCCTTCTTCCTCAATGAAAAAACAGTCCCCTAAATTATATTTTGTTAGGTCATCTACCTAATCTTTGCTATTTGAGAAAATCAGAACTAGGCCAGTTGTTTGTTAGTTCATGCCGCCATGTTCTCAGTAGTCACACTGTTGGAACACAGGGGCAAATGCCTTAGCTCAATGTCTTAGGAAGCCTGGAAGTTCAAATTCTTGTGCCCTTCTTGCACTGATTCTTAGACACAAATTGCCTCCCGAGTCCCTGAGATTTATGCAGTTAGTGGTTTAAGAGAAATAAGGCTCTCGACATGGCCCATTAAAAGCACATCTTCCCACTGTAAGCCTCAGACCCCAGGGTCAGTCTAGCTTTTCATCTGCCGAGGAGATCCGAACACCTGTTTTCTCACACTTGAAACGATACAGTGAGCTTATTTCACATCTTGTTATGTGAGCACCGTGAAAATGCTGGGGGTTGTGACGCTCACTGTGTCTCTTTCCTGATCCTGTGGAATGCCTCTGTTATTGCTTATCAAAGGCAGTGAGTTTAAACCTCCCACTAAATGCCAGAGCCAGCAGGGCAAGGTCTTTCCTTTACATTCTTCTTTCATGTTTCCTTTTAACAAAATTAACTTCTAGGGTAATGATGTTCCTTGGTCCTACTGTTTACACAACGTGTCCTCTCTCCTTTTGCAGCCAAAACTTGCCTATCAG